TTATTACATATAAAATACAATAATGACGGAGCTAACAGAGACACGTCCGTTCTCTGCAGCATGTAACACAAAAGATAGGTATACGTCACGACAGGTGCTGTGACACACCGGTAATTGACCAATCAAAATGAACTTAGTCAAATGTAGGTCCATACATATAAAATTATTTTTCTTTTCTTTTGAGGCGTTTTTCTATTTTCTTCCAAGCCATTTTTACAACTTTGGTACCTGTGCCTAGTAAATTTTATGTACTTTGTGAATAAATAAAGGTTTTTGACAGGAACTATTTTTTTCAGGGCATAGGAGGCTACTTCCTGTGATGCACTCGAGGTGTTTATAAACAAAGTGAAAACACGTGGATTTGAGGGTAGCCCTGTTTGCAGATGGAAAAAGTCCGAAAATGCCGTGTGGGTACCCTGTTTTTTGGTGTCAGCTAATGTGACAGGTAATGTTTAACACCTCCTGCTAAATATTTTTTCATGTAAACAAATACCTGATTTTTAACGATTTTTTATGCTATATAGAATTATATAGTGAAAACAATTACCGGTGTGATACCTTGAAGGTGATTATGAAAAATCATTTAAATCCTTATTAAAGACATTTTTCATTTTTAAAAGGCATATTTCAACAGAATATGTGATTTTATTAACTTTTTGTTAGAAAACACACAATTTTAAAATTAGAATTAGAATTTACATTATTTTTCACAGATTTCTGTGTAAAAATTAACAATAGGTTACTGTTTACACTCAATACTTTAAAATATGAGTAAAAAGGTAGCATTATGCATCTAAAATGTAGAAAACAGTCAGAGAATGTTGTTTTTTCATTTTATATGACTTAACATTATTTGCACCAGCTGACTGCAGTCAATTATAGTATCTACAGACTTTGCGGTAAAGGGTGTTAAAGCTGATTTTTCAAGAATAGACTAATTCTAGGTTTGCGAATGAATTTTCAGCACAAGCGACAACTGCGATAAAATGTAAACAAGTGAAATATGTTCTCACAGAATGATAATTTCTACAGACATATGATTTATTTTAATTTATTCACACCTCCATTGATACATATGTTACTGCATTGGAAGAATAGAAATAATGAAATGAGTCAGATCTGTCTAATAAACTTCATACATAAGCTACATAAGTAAAATTCATTAAGAATTTTTCACAGGAAGGAAGGTTATGACCAAAAAATCCTTAAATACTGTCAGAGTCTGCATGATAATACTTATTCTGAGTTCTAATCATGCATCATACATGTAGTGCAGAATGTCACTTAGCACCATGGCATGCCTCTTGTGGTTCTCAGGACTTTATTCATGCTTTCGCAGCTGACATTCATGTTTTTTCAGTTTGTCGGAGACTGTTTTTTGTTATTTTTTCATTTATATGTAGGTGTTGACTGTCACTTTTGATTTAATTCTCAGTCAGTGATGCTTATATGAGCATGATCTATTAAGGATATCATTGTACTGAAATATTAATAAATTGCAAATTTAACTGATGAAGAAATTTGGCATATTTACATAATTAAAATATCAGAATAACTATAATTCAGCTAATAAGGTGCACTTTTCTTCTCAGATCACCTCCTATAAATTTTACCAGCAGTTTTTGTACACCCACCCACCCTCAAAGAATCATGGAGGATGTCCTGAAACTGGTCTCTGTGATGCATTTTGTCACATATAAAAGTGTTCAAACCCATAAAAATGTTTAATATTTATATTGAATTTTTATTTTTTATGTAAATTTGGTGAAACAAAAAGAGGTAATCTTGCATAAATCATGGAAATTCATTAAACACCTTTGGAATTCCTGAGTAAATCCATGAAAAGAGAATAATTATGCATGTTAAATTGAAATTTCATGGCTACTTTGTGTCTTAAGAGAAAGCCAGTTACATAAATCACAACAATAAATCACATCTGAATTGTTGTCTCCATTTTCTTATCATCAAAGCCAGTTTATTGGAGTGTGGGAGCTGTCAAGAACCTCCCTAGATGCTGATATCATTTAGACTGTCCTGAGTTACAACACAGCATTTAGATAAACTTCTGCACAGCAGCTTGAAGACAAATACCTAGGCTTTATTTGGAACATAAATTGACCAGATACAGATTTCATTATCAACCCAGTATTTAACAATTTCTGTATTTTTGTTCATTCTGTGAAGGGGAAAATGCAACTTTGTTATGTAATAATTACATAATGGTCTTAGAATTGTAAACTCGTTTTTGGTTGTGGTAAAGAACAAAGCATATACTCTCCACAGATAAAAAATTGGTTGCCAAGCTTATTCTTTTAATGATGAAGCTCTGCATCCAAAGATGCACAAAAAACTGCTTCGAGAGAACTCTGTGTGTTATTCTTGACTGCTCTGGATTAAGGGAGATAAATGCTTCATATCTTCAGAAATAAGGGGATTTAGATCACCAGACTTGAGGATGTTGGGGACAATTATTTAATAAATCTCAGGTGCAAAAATGAAAAAAATCGAACACTTTCAAAGGTCCTTCATACCATGTGATCGGAGGTAGCAGGGCAATTCGTGCCCATTACCTCCAGGACCACCACACAAACAAGCAAAAATTCTCCGGCGCGTCGATTTACCCAAATGGACCCAAATGGAAACACAAATGGACCCAAATGGAAATCAAATTGAATATTAAACATGTGTTATCGTATTTTAATACTTATTTAAAATGATGAAAATAATGAACTTACAGTTATAAATGGATTTTTTTTTATTATTAATCTCTAATATTGTATTTTGAAGCATGAAGTTTTGATAGTATTCTATATACCGGCAAAATTATTTGGGGGTAGGGGCGGGGGGGGGGGTATGGGTTGGCATGGCCTCCCCCTCCCCCCATCCGTTCCTACGGCCATAAAAAATATCAAATACTTCAGTTTTGTATTCAAGTATGTTCAATAGCTATTACAAATAGAATTAAATCGCATTTATAAAAATACAATTGAAGATAATAATGATATTAAAATATTCTATTTTTGTTTTAATTTCATTATTTTCTATATTCTAAATAAGTAAAAACTTGAGAATACGATATAATATATATGTTTTATATTCCATTTGGGTCCATTTGGGTAAATCGACGCACCCAAAATTCTCTTTCTTTCTTACGATGAAGTGAAATACGAATAATGCAAAGAACGACTTTCTTAAAATTTGGGGAATGCCTAATTGAAGACCTACAGGTAATTGAAGACCTAGAGAAGACCTACGGAAGACCTACAAAAATGGGGGATATATACAGCAAAACTGATATGATATTCTGATTAAGCATGTCCTAAATATGTAGAATACACAAAAAAGTGTTATAAAAAGAAGTTTTAAAGTGTATTTTTTAAGCTCGGTAAGGAGAACTATTTCTTCTCTCAGAAGACCTACAGCAAGAACGATAACTCGCGTAAATAACAAATCAGCTGTTCACCAAAACATATCAAGAAAATGTAATTATCAGAAAAATGTAATTAAAAAATAATATTAAAGGACGGAAAAAAAATCATTGGAGATACTTTATATACATACATCAAAGATAAAAAAAATAATAAAATGCAATATTCAGTCAGATACAATTCTATTTTCTTAAAAAAAAATTAGTTATTAAAATCAGTAAAATTGTAAACACTGTACATAATTTATAATACCATTATATGTCAATCATAAAATCATTATAAATACATACACTTGTATATACGTTATATTTAGTATTTTATATGTGTTTATAAATAGATCAGTATAATATTTAATTCAGGTTTGAATTGTTGATCATTAATAAAAATTCATTGTGATGGAATGATTTGTGTTCTTGTTATTAATAATACCTAGTAATGTCATTTATAACATCAAATTTTTTATAAGATTTGCATTTATGTAGAGAATGAAAATTTTAAAATTGCAGTTAAAAGAATTTGAAGTAATTTTTCAAGAAGAACACAGACAATCACTTTCAAAATCTTATTTCCCCCGAGTCAAAGCATCATAAATTTTTTTTAAAATATGCCTGCATTTCTTATGTGTGATAACATGCATGTTTATTATTTTATTCAATTTTAAAAAGTGTATATTTTCTTTTAATTTAATCATTGAATGATATACCTGGTATCTTCAAGATTGATATAATGTACATGTATATTTTGGCTCAAAATGTAAAAGAAATAAAACCTCATATATGTTTCATATTATAGTGCCTATTTCTTGGCATACAGCATGTTATCTGGAAATATACATTTAATTAAGTTATTAAATATTCCTCGTGAATGTCATATAAATGTGTTATATTGAAAAAAGATGACCATTTTGAATATTAAAAAAAATTCAAAACGTAATTCATTTTAGTAAGTTATATTCTGAATAAATGCACATGTTTTCACATAATTTTATTTGTTTATTCTTGCTAGCATTTTTAAGATGTAAAATAAATATTTTTTTTTATATCTTTGCTCTGTTGACTGCAAATTAACATTCATCAGAGCAAGTGGGGTGTGTTGATAATTGCAATCAAAACACGGATTATCCTTAGGGTGTCTGTGTATACAACAAATTAGTGAAGATCGAAGCCCTTAGTACAGAGTAATATTGGTTAATTGAGAGAAATCCACAGCATACATATCAATAATTTGAACTTGAATATTTCATATTTATCCCATAAAACATATTAAAAGAATTACAATATTTATTAAATATTAACTATAGATTTCAAGTAGAATATTAATTTGATAAATGAAATAATCATGATAATTATTTATATTAACTTCATCAAAATTCATCACCCAGCTGATTTCTTTATCATAATTTATAATTGAAAAACTCAACAAAATCATTTGCAATTTTTTTTTTATTTTGTCATATATTCTTCCTATAAACTTCACAATATAAATGAGTGTGTTGTTGTTTACAATGAGTGTGTTGTTGTTTACAAGACAAGTCAGCCAGAGTTATCGTTCTTGCCGTAGATCGTCTGTTCGATAGGTGGCGCTTTAATCGCCTGAAAAGAAAACACCGTAAGTCAAGATTGTCAAATATTGTTTAATTTTTACATATTATGATGTTTATTGACGTGAATATTTAATTTATATAAGAAAACAATATTTATATTTCTTTTTTATTCAACATTCTTTCGTTTTGATTGGAATTTTGATGGTCTATTCGTGACATGATGAATAAAGTCACGTCAATCATTATTGCTTTGGATTTTTGATTAAGAGAAAGGAAAGATAAGTACATGTACATATAAAACCTAATGTCTCTATCTACATATGTTACACATATAATTAAGAGACGTTTTAAATTAAGTTTAGAACTGCTAGTATAGCTTCTTGCTTGTATTACATGTATTTTATGCCGGTTCTATATACATGTGAAATTATCCCCCTTTGTACATGTACATGTTGTAAGAAGATACTTTGATATAAGCTATAATTAAAATTTGATGTTAGATACTTTCGAATAGTGTAGTAAGTATGCGAGCAGATCTAACATCCAGTTTTAATTAGATTGACTTTGATATTATTTCTATTTATTTTCAAGAGGTCATCATGTCTTACATGCTTCAACATCTTCACAATGGCTGGCAGGTTGACCAGGCCATATTGGCAGAGGAGGATCGCGTAGTGGTGATCAGATTTGGACATGACTGGGACCCATCGTGTATGGTGATGGATGAAACCCTGTACAAGTGTGCTGAAAAAATGAAAAACTTCGCTGTGGTTTACCTAGTGGATATTTCAGAAGTGCCAGACTTCAACAAAATGTATGAATTGTATGACCCTTGCACCATAATGTTTTTCTACAGAAACAAACACATCATGATAGACTTGGGAACTGGTAACAACAATAAAATAAACTGGTCGATGGAAGATGTGCAGGAATTTATTGACATTGTGGAGACTGTATTTAGAGGAGCAAGAAAGGGAAGAGGTCTGGTGATATCACCCAAAGACTACTCTACAAAATACAGATACTAACGACTGTTCATTTTATCATTTGACCAGAATCATTCATGTACTGTATCATTGAAAGAAAGTAGATCCAAATTGATAATTTGTACAAATATTGCATTTTGTTCAGTACACAATTGAACTATATGTTGTATGATTTTTCTGTCCTAAAAAATGAGAGATTTTATGTAAAGATTATTTCAGATATAATGACTTGTTTATTTGAAATACTTTCAGGTTATTTAATCAAAATTAAAAAAACATTTTGTAAAGAACAATTTCTGACAAATTTCCCACAGGTCATCTGTGTCTTGACTGTACAATAAAATTGCTATACAATTTGTAAACATTTATTGAGTATTGATGTTAAATAGTAGGCTGTCAGAGGTATCTTAGATAAGTAAAAAGCATTCTGAACTCTGAAGGTATTGCATTAATTAGCAATACTTGACCTTTACTGGCAAGTGTAATCTGTTTCCCATGAAAGAGTAAAAAGGCTTTAGTTTTACTCAAAAATCATTGAGAAATGGAACAATATGTAAAATTGATATGTAACTCGGCAAGATACATCCACACACCAAAATCAGCTCAATAAATGCAAGTGTTTAGAAAGAAAAAGTGGAATATCATAATTTTTAGTAAACTCAGGTGACCTATTGCTATCTGTTTTCGTCCGTCATCGGTCGTAAACTTTTGAACATTTTTAGCTTCTTCTCTGGAACCACTGAACCAATTCCAACAAAATTTGGTATACAGCATCTATGGGTGAAGGGGAACAAAAATTTTAAATTTCATGGTCCCTACCATCCTGGGGCCTGAGGGGTAGGGCCAAAACCACTAAAATTAGTGCAATCTGTAAAAGTCCTCTTCTTTACTCCTGGACATCAAGCAGTCAAACCGTTTTTTTTTTTTTTGCTTGTCAGGTTTTTTTTTTTGAAGGATTTTTTTTTTTTACACTTAGCCCCCCCCCCCCCCCCCCACACTTTCAATTTGCTTCCGACGCCAATGAACTAACTAAGTATATAGTTATGATGAGCAAGAGTGTTTCTTCCAAAGTTGTGAATATTACGGCCCCTGGGTTGGGGTTTCTGGTGTTAGGGTGGGGCTCTACATAGTCTGAAATTGAATTAATGCTTTTAAATCTGCTCTTTGGCATAAATAAATCATTTATGATGAAATAAAATTTATAATAAAATTTCCAAAATTTTGAAATATGTTGTTCCTATAGGATGTGTCCGCCATTTTTGTTTGGAGAATCTCGATACCTGCAGACCCCTATATAAAGGGCAGGACTTTGTCACTGGTCAGTGTAGTCAGAAGACACCGGTGTAGACGGAAGTATGCTATACTGCACTCGGTAGCGACAATAATAACGTAATACTTTGTCTAAAGCAGGAAAGTAAGATATCATTGAAAGAACTTACAATTATAGTTGTACAGGTCAGTGCAGTATATAAACAAACACAGGTACACGTAATTGCAATAAATTGTCAACAAAAGTAATGTAAGATAACTAGCACTAACACGGGTTGCCATTCCTCCCTGATACATGTACCCGTGACAATAAAGCAATCAGGTGTGATGAATATGATGAGTATACCCTGGTGTTGATGTATCATAGCTAATGATATCGAAAATGGCGTATGCCTATTTACGAGTTGTGTTCAGCTTTAAGTTATCAACTTATCTCTTTTTTACTGGCAGGGGACTAGTACTGAAAATGTCATATGAAGTGTAATGAGAAGGGAAAAAATATACATGCAACTGATCAGATAAAGAAGTGTTTGATGAGGGACTCCTGGGGCCCTTTTTTTACAAAAGAATTTGCAACTAAGGACCAAAAACTTGATTGTAAAATTATTTAACATAAATGCATTCAATTGCTTGCATTAAAATATTTTTCTTTTTGAAACCATTTATAAATGACTCTAATATAGAAACTTATTAGCAAAATTACATAATTTTTTGGTCTTAGTTTAAGTTCTTTCGAAAAATTAGGCTTCACATACCATCCTTAAATCTCCTCTTTTTTTATTAAGGACACCAACCCTGTTTTCCCCATGATTTTTTTTTTACCTGTCACATTCTGGTCATTGCACAAAATGTAACAGGAAGAAAAAAATGAGACAGATTAAATCAGAATACAAAACCACGGTTCATGCCCTTCAGGCCAGTGCACCTTCAACAAATGCCACAAATTATACTAAAGAGCATTGTTTAAATGACTAGGAGCAGTTTTTCAGAATTGCAAAATTATCATTTTTAAAAGTAGTTGATTTTAAACGTCCAGTAAGAATAAAAATCAAATCTGCACTGCACTTCATGTTTTGATGAAGCAGACTGACTGCCTTAACAAATCCACTTGCGACTATATAGCCACATGACTTGAGACACTGACAGAGGGCATTTGAGAAAAAGGAAAGATAACTCTTGGTAGAAATACCAGGTAGTCAATTCAGATTATTCAGGTCAATTAAACTATCTGTCTGAACTTCTAAAGTCAAAGACTTGACATATCAACTGTGACATTGGTAAGACATCTTTATCCCATATAATGGACAATCATATGTACCTATATCTGGTACAATGTAGTACGTGCTGCACATTTTGATTCTGTGACCTTATATTGTTTGTTTGCAAGTTACAGGCAAGCTTATCTCTCAGGGATACATATGTAACATACCACAATCTTGGATGATTAAAAAAAATACAATAAATAAAAAAAGTCTTCTCAAATTTACTGCCAGGCACTCCTGTTTTATTACAAAAAAATTTAAAAAGTAAATTACAAAAATTCTTTGGCACATTGAAAGCTCATAGCAACAAATAAATTTAAAAAAAATTGTTAAGCATCAAGATTTCCTTTTATTTTTGGAGAAAAGATGTTTAAATTTCTCATAAGCAGCAGTACTGATAATTGTCTCCACTAAATAAGAATGTCCATCTTCACCATCTCTTGTTGAAAGCACCGTGACATTTTTATACAACCAACTGTAAATAATCAAAAATGTTCAGAGCTTTATTAACTATTTTAGCATAAAATATATTGACCTATTAAGTGTAACAATGAAACAAGAGGCCAATGGGCCACATTGCTCACCTGAGTAACTTTGGCCATGCAATTTTTTTTTTACAAAATTTCCCCTTTATAATAGCTATTGTGACCCCACCCTACACCAGGATTGATAATTTGGAGAATGTAGAATATACACTACCACTGGATGTTTCCAGATAAGTTTCAGCTCTTCTGGCCTGGGGACCATAAAACTTAGACAAGCTCACTTTTGATCTTAATCTCACTTTTCCACTATATATTCCTTTGGAAAAAGTGAGACTGAGATCAAAAGTGAGCTTGTCTAAGTTTTAAGTTTTTCAAGTTTAAGTTT